CACATCTCTTCTCCTTGCTGTTTCATTTTCGCACATAGGTTAGTAACTTTTGTTACAAAGTCATTTATATTTCCTTCTTCAAATTTTAAATTATAAAACTGCTCAGTTAACAAATGCAAACCAATTATTGATTTTCTATCATAGATTTCTTCTAGTTTTTTCCACATCTCGCATGCGGTCGAACATTGCATAATGTACGAAAGTGGAGTTTCCTCCATACGAGTCACCAAAACCTCCTGTGCTTTTGCATCATTCAGTTGCCATGCAGCCAACTTTTTATCGTCCTCCGGCTTCTTTTCGGTTCCACTTGCGATATCAAATAACCCTTTCGCCATTAAAACAACTTTTATTTGAAATTTCCATACACTCCAGTTTTTATCGTTTAATTTATTAAACGACACCCTCCATGTTTTTAATTTTTTCTTCTTTTTCTTTATTTAAAATACGCTAACCCAACGTTGTTATTCTTTCTAACCGTTCTAACTGATTCTAACCTCACTTCTCAAAAGAACTCGTCCAACACGTCTTCTAACCTCTCAATTTCTCCCGTCCACCTGGGCCCATAACCTGTTGCGGAGTGCGCTTTAGGTTAAGTGAAATAAATAAGGCCAGGAGAAACTTAAGATGTAACAAAAACGTTTTTATTCTTTAATAACAACTTTTACTAGTTTTCTAACACAACTCAACGAACTCAACACGCGGTCACTTCTACACAAGGTTCATGATTGCCAACCTCGTCTCTTACAAAAACCCTATTTCAACAGAAAGAAGCTTACCTAGTTTATCACAATCCATGATATTCAGTTAAATATTTATACTTTCAAATAAAAAAATTATATCTAATGGACTTATGCAAAAGGTTGAAATAATTATTCGAGTTATTTAACCAACTTTGAGATAATAATACGGACGATCGGGATGTACAAGAACGAAAACAATCGTTGTATGACACTTGTATAACATTAAACTTATTATGTCAGATGTTAGTTTTTTCGAGGTTCAACTTTTTAAAATCGAATTTTGGCCGCTTAGATTGCCGAAATATACCTATGTGGCGGCGGCTACCTTCACATGTTATGTTTCAATCACTTTTTCACCATCTAAAAGAAAGTGGATCCTTTGAAAGGTCTTATAATACCGGACGGCAGAG